AAGATCCGAATGCTAACGATTTAAATAGCCGAGTCAGATAGTTTTTGGCTCACTGATTTAAATCATTTGAATCGGCCACAGCAGTTTTACGGTATTTGCTTGACGCTTGTATTTATCTGTTACAGTATAACCTTTTTCTCCATATTAATAGCAATTTAAATGTGTCAATGTATTTTTAAAGCTAGAAAATAAAAAGTGATTCTTTCTGCAAAATTCTCATTCAGCTCACTCAGCAGAATGCAATCGTAAAAGGTTCAGCATAGAAAAAATAAAAAGAGAGGAATGATCCACACTACTACACCCAGAATCATTCATGTTACGCTCAGCTGTCTGTTTTGCTCAATTCTGCGTTCATCGAAGGAAATAGAAGCAATGCGAATACGAACGAAATCAGTGCGGCTCGCACAAGCTGCTGTTCGTTTCTGATGTTGTATGCGTGTGAGTGAGTAGTAAATGCAAAATGAATCGATTTTTCCCATGCTTGCTGGCAACCATGCGGATCTAAAAACATTCTCTTGATGCGTTTTATTTACCCCACATAAAGTTATTGCTGAGAAGAGTTTACTTCGCTTCGCGGTATTTGAAAATTATTTCTGTAGTTGAAATTGCTATGCGCAGGGAAACATTGCGGTGATACATGTTGTCTCAACCTGGTCTGTACAAGGTGTGAATGTATTGGTTTACTTAATTTAATCCTACATCATTACGTCTTTCGGCAACATATTGAGGGAAAAAAAATCAAAATCGACCGCGATACGAAAAGTGGTCAGGTTTTGACCATAAATAACTCTGTCAATAGCGAATGAACTTTAATTCGAAATAAGCCAATCAGTTGTATTTTTTTTATAAAAATCTGCTAAAATGAACACTTTATCAATTTTCAATAGGTCACTATTGAAAATTACACAAATGTCCAACTATTGCATTAGTGATCAAAATTTTTACCAATAGCCTGGAAAAAACGCTTTCCCTAACACAGATTTCAAAATCTAATTCCATCCGATCTCGCCGAACGGTGCTTGTTCAATCACCGTGTGTGGTTGTGTCCGGTCTGTCGTCATCAGCAGCAGCAGTGCTTTCGGCGCGTGACGTTGAACATTGTTCATTAGTACACAACGAAAGGATGCAGCAAGCAGCAGCTCACATGAGCGTCCATTCACCGAAGAAGGATGAAGAAGCCACACCGCTACTTATCGGATTCAGTAGCTCTTCGCGAGTCACTGTAGGCCATCTATACCATGCGTGTCACCCTCGTTCCAAAAAAGCATACAGCTCATCCGTGTTGAACATCCTAATAGCACAGCATTACTCAACCATCACGACAAAACGGTTCTTTTCTGGACCACCACGACGCCGAGGGTTCACTTCATTGATGGGTTCGAACATAATCAAGGACGAACAAGAACAATGTCGCGCCAACGAGAAGGAAATTCGGATTGTAAAGAAACTGAAAAGTAAAGCAGTATACTACGTTAAAGCAGACAAGGGCAACACGGGCGTTATCATGGACAAAGACGATTAAGACAATCAAATGACAACGAAGATTAACAACGGACCGTATAGACAGCTTCGAGTAGACCCCTTACAGAACACAGTGAAACGGGTGAAGAAAGCACTGAATGAGTGCAAATCAATATTAAGAGATGGAGCAGGCCGTTTACGGGAACCCAATCACATTCTACCCAGGATCAAAGGTCTCCCCAAAGTCCACAAACCGGGAAATGAAATGCGAGAGATCGTGTCTGCATTTGGTTCCCCCACCCACAAACTAGCGAAGTGGCTAGTCAAAGAGTTCCAGAGTATGTCGAATCAGTTCCAGAGTAAAGCAGTAACACCCAGGAGTTCGCCCAGCAACTACAATCTTCATCAACGAGGACGAGATTATGGTATCTTTCGACGTCACAGCTCTTTTTCCCAACGTACCGGTCAAGGAAGCGATCAACCATTTGGACGACTGGCTATTAACACAACGAGAGGATGCAGCATGGAGAAACAAGGTTCGGACGTACCTTAAGCTGACCCGCCTTTGTATGCAAAGGAACTACTTCTCTTTCCGAGGTACCTCCTACAAGCAGACGAAAGGAGCCCCAATGGGAAAGCCCCTATCCCCCTTCCTGTGTGAACTTTTCATGGCCAACTTGGAGACAATTCTTAAGGAGAAAGGACTATTACCAAACCGTTGGTGGAGGTTTGTTGACGATATCTTCAGCGTAGTTAAACGGGAAGCCCTTCCACAAATTTTAGATGAGATCAACAGAATTCACAAGGATATCAAATTCACTCACGAGGTTGAAGAAAACGTGAAACTCGCATTTCTCGATATTCTAGTCATCAAGAAATCGTCATCATCATCTTCGCTTGAATACGAAATTTACAGGAAACCAACAAGCACTAAAAGAGTTATCCCCTATACTTCCAACCATTCGTTCCAGCAGAAAATGGCCACATTGGCCATATTGTAGCTTAGGGTATTTCCGTTGATATCGTATACAGTTTTTATATAGTATGTGTTACATATTTTACAAACATATTAAAAAATAATTTTCGTGTTTTCGCCTGTTTGAAAAAGCACTCAAACCATCACTTATGAAATGTATTTCCTATATAGCCATCACAAATTCAATGTGGTATTCTTATTGCTTATGATATTTTCTGATTATATACTCATTCAAAGTTTCATATTTTATGAACTATTGTTTGAGTTTTACGCATTTTTTTTCTACATTCATCGAGCATTATCAAAGTAACCCAAAATCGGAGTTCGGTCACAAAACTAAAAAAAAATAGTGCAAATGCTTTAATTTTCGTTCAACATATTAGTAACGAATAAACTCTTGGATCCTCAGTACTTGTTTTAAAAATATAAAATTTGAAAAACAGTCATCGCTGTAAAAATATTTAGAATCTACTTTAAAAAACTATCAATGTTACCCCATTTTACGGTACTTGTTAAAAAATAGAATTTGCAAATTGTTCATTGTTGTAAAAAATATTTAGAATAATCTTAAAAAAAACTATCACCCCAATATTTGAAACCCTTCACAACTCTGAAATTTGTTAAACCTCTCAGAATTTCCATGACCTTATCCTTTTCCTGAACACCGATTGAGGTGCATGTACTCTTTTGGAGCTCGTCTCCGAAGTTCTTTGAACCTCTCAGTAGTTTTATTAACAGCTCTGCAGTTCGCAGATCATCTATTAAGCACTTTTGAAGTCCTTTAAGCTTCATATTTTCTTCTTTTCATTAGCTCACTGATCATCTCAGCATTTTTCTGAGAAGTTCAGAGAAGTTTAGAGTGCTTCGTAGAAGTTTAGTGATTTCTAGGGAAATTTTTCAATTTATAGATAAATTTCCGAAATTCAAAAGAAGATCAGTGGACTTCAGAGAAAGCTACATTTCAGAAATTCAGGAAATTTCTGTAAAATTCACCAGATTTCTCTGGAGCTCACTAAAATTCTTTGAAATGCATCCAAATATTTTGGAGGTGCTCCTTGAATCTTTCTGAAATTTTCCTAATTTCAAATACCAAACAAATAGGTACATTGCAGTTAGGAAAATCTCAGAGAGACTCAGGGAACATCTCAAAGATGTTTCGGTGTCTTTCAGTGGAGTTCAGTGAACTGCAGAGAAGTCTAGCGAATTTTAGAGAAAATTGCAGAATTTCTGAACGGAAAGATCATCAAATTCTGGAAAAGTTAAAAAAATGCTCAGGGAGGTGAACATTTGCAATCGTGGTCTGAAATAACCTTCGCACAACCATATCATGCCAGTTGTGACGGCTCGTCGAATCAATCTCACCTCACCACCAATACCCGCTTTTACAAGCTTCGGTTCATCAGCCAAATGCCATTTCATTAGCCTCGCATTCATAGACAAACCCATCGCTTTCTTCCAGGGGGCTCCAGAAGCTCTTTCATTCCTTTCATTCGAAACACGACCGGGGGAAGTTGTGATAAGAAATTAGCTTTACCTTTGATTCCGTTAGGCATTGCTGGTCAACCGCCGAGGGTCGTTTTGAGATAACCCCTTGGCTTTTTGGCGGGGGGTTTTTGTTGCCGAAACAAACCCTCAATCGTAGCCTTCTCAACATGGAGCGTTCGTGAATGCCCGATAAAGTTGTTCACAGCCAACTTGTTTTGGGTATACCTGCCACCACTTTCTTCTTCTACGTTTTTCCGTCACTAATTTCCAAAATGAAAGCAAATGATAGATGAAATGAACACATGTTTCACAGTTATATCGATTTCATTTCGACAAGATGAAATTAAATGAAGCTGTCAAACATGACTCCGGATGAGGACAGAGGAACAAGTAAACAATTAATTTTCATATTTTGGTTTCGAAAAATTGTGGCCAAAATCTGGAATGCAGCAATATATCGAGTCAAATGTCAAAAATCTTAAATGACTGTGTCTCGGATTCCATGCGATTAATGTAGAACAAAACTTGATTGTCATTTTCCAGTCCATTTACCAACTAACAAATTAGTATTTATGATCTACAAAACACAGCCATCATCTAATCACCGCAGACAGTGCAGCATCTTCGCCAGGTACTATGCAAGTCATGCTTTTTCAACCGTAATAACACGATGATCCTAGGATTCCTAAACCACATCTCGACACGATGACGATGACGACACTGCCAGTTCAACCACAGTGACGTGACGGAGTTGCAACAGAGCTGTCGTTTCCCACACACTTATTAGTTCAATTTGTCGTTCCATTAACCTGGCTACGGACCAGACACATTGCCCATCGCCATCCGCACCGGATGAAAGTCCTGGACGAATTACAAAATGAATCCCACCGAAACCGAAAACCCACCTACCATCGCCTTGAAAGCAAAGCTGTGCTCGGATGATGTTGGTTAGGAGAGGAGCATTTGTGGTTTTCCACCTCATGTTGTCGGATGGGCCCGGAGGTCGGAAATTGGAGAAAAACAGAAACCACAACAAGAGTCTTAACCCTGCCCAATCGGACATTCAGTGCCGACTTACCTTCGACCAGCATCCAGAAGAAGTTGGTAAGCGTGAAGTAGTGCAGCAGGGTAACGAAGATTACACAACTAGTCGTGCCACTGTTTGCACCGCCAGAGAGCTGTCCCCCGCAGGGTGGTGGATTCGATGGAATGGAAAAGAAGAAAAGAACAGATTAAACAATATTTGCAGTGGACAGGTTATATACGAGCTAGTGGCAGTCAGTGCTAGTAGTAGTAGTTATTCGATTCCGTTTGATGTGTGCATTCTATTGGAATGATTGGTTTCTGTTTCAATATAAAAAGAACCCGTCTAAGCGTATTGTTTGCTTCAACTGATTCTGCGGGATATAAATGAGTAGTAGGTATAGATGGAACTTAAAATGTCAACTTAGTGCTCTTTGAACAAAGGATAAGGAATCGAAGCTTTTGCAGATCTCCAATGCAATTTGTTTAGTGAGCTCACCATAAATTACAAAGGGTTCACGGCATAGCAACCCCTACCACATCGAGACTAATTATTGCTGGATTTTGCAACTCACCTGCAGCGTCAGAATGACCATCCACATCAGGGCGGACAGGATGTAGGTAATGAACAGATTTGCATGAATCGTATTACGCAAGCAACGTAAATCCCTATGGAAAAGGAGACAAGAGAAAATCCCAAGTAGATTAGCGTCGTTTTCCCCATTTTCCGCTGTTGTCGTCATTATGTGAAAAACTTACTTGAAGTAGATGAAAACTATCACAGCGAGACTTAACGCAACTAGGCTAACAATATATCCGGAGTAGTAGATGATCGACGTGACCTCGACTATGTCCGGCGGTGGTTCGGTCATGTGATGGCAGGCCGTGTAGTGACTGTAGTTGTCCCACTTGCCGTCGGCGTGGCAATAGCGGGTGACGTTCTCTGGAATGAGGGATAATGAAAATGAGAAAAAAGGCGTTTAATTATTGCACCCGCAGTGATGCAGGTACCTAGGTGTTACGTGTGAGGTGTGAGTGAGTGCATTATTTTTTGTTCAACTGCTTTCAACAGGACCCCATGGTGGTATTCGATTTATCAACAGGTCCAAATGAATTGTTTTAATAACCAACTGACTGGGTTTAAATTGAAATGCTGCACATGTGAGATTAATCGGAGTCGGGATATGCCATTCAATCTGTTGGAACAGGTTTAAACGATGCAAAAATGAATATTTATTACTCGACAATATCGAGTATAATAATAGATTTGGCTCATATCGATAGGCTTAATTGATGGCAACGGCAATCAATACAATGTTGCTTCTCCGCTGCAGAGCAATTAAATTATGTGTTGCTTTTTGGGAATTATGGAATAAATTTATGGTGATGAGTCTATTAAAATTTATGCAGGATTCATTGTGCAAAGAAAGGCTTGTGGTTGTGTTGCTTAATGCATTAATTAAGGCATTTACAAAGCAGTCGATGCGGCAAAACATACACAGACGGCGTTGTTATGAATTCTCCAACATTACAATTGGCGTCTTGCAGTGAAACTTTCCCGAGCTTTCGTCACCTACATTTCGAAGTGAGAACTACTAGAACAAGGATAGTTTCTAAATTTACCAAATAAAACAGCATGAGCATGAGCATGATTGACCGCCCAGGGTTGCTACTCTGTTATTGCCAGATCAGCTGTAATTACACAGAGAACCAATAGACGATGCTTGGGACTAGCAATCATCCTCAATGTGTAAAAACTGGTGATCTCAAACTAGGCAATACCAGCACCGGCCGCGCCCGAACGCAGGTCAAGAAAGGAATGGGTAGGAATGTGCCGAATAAAGCCGAGAAATCCTCTGCACTTTCACGAGGAGTCTCTGGGATGTTGGGTAAGAGGGTAGGGTTTGCAGCAGGGTTTGATTTGGTAAGCGATAAACTGAATTGATGTCCTAACGATAGGGAGGGGTTACTGTATAAATAAATAAAAAGGAATGATCTCACTCAAACAACCAAGTGGAGCTGCACCACTGGCAAGCACAGGGTGGGGCAAGGTGGGACAATTGCCTCACCTTTTATAAATACGATTTTAAATTCCAAATTTACAAAGTTATGATAAAAAATTCTAGATTTCTTGATAACTTGATTTGAAGGTAAAATTGAAACCCTTTTATTGCGTCAATTCCTTTGAGATGGTGCCTGAAAATTGCATCACAAAGGTGCATGAAGGGACAAACTTCAATGAAATTTTTTGGTCAAAAAATTGCACCACATTGGTGAATACAAAAAATTTATGGTGTAATTATTTTTTCAAGGTTGATCATTATTATTATTATTATTATTATTATTATTTAATTTTATTCATCGGACTATTGTCTACATGAAACAACCTTAAAGCTAAAACAATTCAAGTGTTGTTAGTGGTTCGTTGTAACCGAACGCCGTTCGATGGTACCGCGGTTGGAGAAGGGTGCCACTTCGTAATGTTCTCGGTGGTACTCGGATATCCAACAGCGAGAGAAGCCTCGAGCAGTCGACCTCACCATTCAATAGCTTGGCAACAAAAACTGCTTGCTGATTTTTCCGTCGGCATTCCAGAGTATTCAAGCTCAGCAGATTGCAGCGATCAGAATACGGCGGGAGATTTTGCGGATCACGCCATGGTAGATTACGTAATGCTATCCTGATAAACTTGCGCTGAACACTTTCGATCCTCAAGCTCCAGGTCAACTGATGAGGAAACCAGACCAAGGAGGCATTTTCCAGGATTGGTCGCACAAGTGAGCAATAGGGAGCTTTCAGGCAGTGTGGGTCAATGAAGTCCTTCGATATTTTCGACACAAAACCTAGCTGGCGATTCGCCTTTGTGATCAGAGCAGAGCGGTGGAGGTTGAACGTCAACTTATGGTCCAGTAGAACACCAAGATCGCTGAACTGGTCGGTTCTTTGAAGAACCACACCGTTGATGGCATAGTCAAAAACAATCGGCTGCCTGATGCAGTAATACGACATTACCATACATTTAGGAATGCTGAGGGTAAGCTTATTCCGACGACACCAATCAACGAACAGATCCAATACCGATTGAAGACGAATGCAATCCTCAGCAGTCCGCACCACGAAGTACAGCTTTAGGTCATCGGCATACGCAAGCTTACAGCCATCTAAAAGTAGAAGAAGTGCGTCGTTGATGTACAACACAAACAGCAACGGGCCAAGATTGCTACCCTGTGGTACACCTGACGAGTTCGTGAAATACGAGGAAGTACTGGAATCGAGTTTCACTCGCAGAGACCTGTCAGTCAAGTAGGAGCACAACCACGACGTCAAACGGTCCGACGCACCGAGTTTGGATAGCTTTGCCAACATAATGCCATGGTTGATCGTATCAAATGCTGCTTTTAGATCAGAATCAACCGTTTTTTGCATGTAAACCCATACTTTCTTCAGTTCCTCGACTGTATTCACTACCTTAGGAAGACCTACCTACCTTTAAGAAGGTGCTGCTTCATAATCGCCCAGTACTTCTCGATGGGGCGGAGCTCCGGAGTGTTGGGAGGGTTGAGCATTTTCGGCACGAAATTGACCTTATTGTCCGCATACCACTTCAGCACGTCCTTGGAGTAGTGGCATGAGGCCAAATCCGGCCAGAAGATTGTTGGGACGTTGTGGGCCTTCTGGAGAGGAAGCAGCCGCTTCTGGAGGCACTCTTTTATGTACACCTGTCCGTTCATCGTGTCCTGGGTCACGAAAGGTGCACTCCGCTTCCCGCACGTGCAGATGGCTTGCCAAACCAGGAATTTCTTCGCAAATTTGGACATCTTCTGAGTGCGGACATGCTCCGGAACGCTGAACTTATCCTTGGCCGTGAAAAACAGGTTGCCGGGGATCTGTTTGAAGTCGGCCTTCACATATGTTTCGTCGTCCATGATGCAGCATTCAACTTTCGTCAGCATGTTGAGGTACAACTTTCTGGCACGGGTTTTGGCGGACTTGTTCTGCTTCTCGTCGCGATTAGGGGCCTTTTGTACCTTGAACGTTCGAAGCCCAGCCTTAGTTTTGGCCTTCTGGACAAAACTTCGGCTTAGGTGCAGCTTCTTAGCCACATCCCTAACGGAGGCGTTCGGATTTCGGTTGAAGGCCCCAACTACGCGGTTGTGATTTTTGGTGTTGTACGGAATACTTTTTCCTTCACTTCTGGGCTTCCGATCGGTGGTCAACCGTTCCTCGAACCGCTTAATCACTCGCGACACCGTGGAATTCACGATTCCCAACGTTTTAGCGATGGAACGATGCGAGAGATCCTTGTTCTCGAGATGAATGCGCAAGATTTTATCACGCACGAGCTGTTCTTTCGACTCCATTTCCGCGAGTTTTGATCACAGGACTTTAAAACTTGCAGGATGTAAATAATGCACTATGAACTAAATCCACCCAAATTTTCATTAAATTCTACCCAACGGTTAAAAAGTTAGAGCAATTTCATAGTGTGGCAATTTCATCGTGGACACCCTTTACCGGAACCATAAATGACTCTTTCCAGATTGCAGGAAATTTCGACTCTACAAAAGATTTGTTGAAGATTCTGCAAAGCGGTTCAACAAGCGCTCCAATGGTACGACAATACATACACTGCAGAAGGAATGCCATCTGGTCCAGGCGAGAAGGTACATTTCATTTTCTTGGCGGCATTAGTTACCATAACGGGCGTTATTTCAAAAGTGTTTATGTCAACAAGGTTTGAAGGCACATCCGAAACAGCCGAGACAAGTTCAGTCGAGGTGATGGATTCAGCGGCAAAAACCGACGAAAAATGAGCAGCAAAAAGCTCACATTTCTCCCCGCCTATCGACGATTCAACGTCATTGAAAAGAACGCTTGCAGGCATTGTTGAATTTTTCCTCTTCGAGTTAACATAGCTCCAAAAGCTCTTGGGGTTTCGCCTTAAATTAGTTTGCACTCGTAAAACGTACGATTTGTAGAGCGAAGAGTTTAGATTACGGTACTCGTTACACGCCAAGTGAAAACTACGCTTATTTGCCAGGGAACGGTATCGCCGAAGTCTACGTTGCGAAGCATTTCTTTTTCGTTTAGTTTTCGTAGCAAAGCGGTGCTCCACGCAGGAGAAACAGCAGGCAGACGAATCGGTACGTTTGTATCCATCCAATTATTTAGCACAGCACACAACGTTTCAGCCATTTCATCAGCATTCAGTCCATCGAAAAGAAGATCCCAGTCAGTGACGGAAAGGAAGTCCATTAGAACATCGAAATCAATCTTGCTGTATTCTAACGCAAGCTCATCACTCGCATTCAGCAGCAGTGCTCCGTCATCAACTAGAGATGGTAAGCAGATGACTGGTGGCGGATGATGAAGATCAACTGGCAAGAGTGGTGAAACAGATCTCGAGATTTCCACAGGAAAGTCCGTATGGCAAAAGAACAAATCCAGGATGCGTCCTAAGTGGTTGCGCTCGAGATTTCTCTGATGCAGGTTGTGGAAATCCATGCCATCAATCAAGAATGAGCTAGCAACTGGTAAAGGAACAGAGTTCACAGGTCGAATCTCGCCATCAGCCCAACTCCAGGATATCCCAGGTTGATTGTAGTCACCGCATACCAGCAAGCAATCGCTGTCAGAGCCGCTGTTACAAAGCTCTTGGATCGATTCAATATGCCCATTCAAAACGCTGAGATCCTTGCTCTTGTCTGGAGGAACGTAAATTGCACACAGCAATAGTCGCTTGGATCCAATCCTCGTCGATACACACACTTGTTCTATCGTTTCTCCGCTCGTTGCAATGACACTGCTACTGATGAAACGGTGATGTACGGCAATTAGAACCCCTCCGAAACGAGATTTGCTGCTGTTTATATGGCTTCGGTCACATCGGTATACATTGTAGTTGCTTCCGAAAAGCTGCGTCGAATTGATAGCCTCGTTAAGCCCCGTCTCGATTAAAATGATGACGTCAAAATTGCACTCCAGGACGTTGCAGTAAAAGTCGTCGATCTTGGTACGCAGTCCACGTACGTTTTGGTAATAAACCCATAAACGACTAGCGTCACGGGTCGTGTGCTGCAACATGGAAATATTTGGCGCGGGAATATTTGGTGAATGGTACAGATACTCACCTCTGGTGGAAACCCTAGGGTTTTCACCGTCCACAGAATGTCACAAAGAATGATTATTGATAATGGTGCTAACCCTAGGGTTTCCACCGTCCACATGATAGAGCCTTATTCCCCGTACAGACTATGGCTTATATCATGTAATATAGGCTGTCTTGCAATGAGCACTCATACATCTAGTTTTCACTGGAAATCCTATGTATGAGTGCTCATTGCAAGACAGCCTATATTACATGATATAAGCCATAGTCTGTCCAGGGTATTAAGTATTTGTCAGTGGATTGCCGTTGGATCCAGACTGGTTTTTGAGTAGTCGGTGAATTCACGGAATAATATCCCATCAGGCCACGTAGAAGCGTCGAGAGCTAGTTCTGTCAGCGATGGATCCAAGCCAACTTTGAAGGAAATGAAAGTCAGCTTCGTCATATCCACTTCCTTGGGAACGAGACGCACGACGTCAGCAGGTGTTGTTAGATCCAAGCAGCGAGAAGTAATTTTTTGAATGTCCTCAGCAGTTATTAACGGGTGTAATCCGGACAGGTAGAGCCAGAACTTTGGAGGGGAGATCGGTGGTGTTAGACACGGTACAGACAAGTCACTGAGATCAATTGCATTGGTCCCACGCACAGAAGAAGTGCCAATCGGTCCACCTTCATTACCACGACGACGTTTAACACCAAGTCTGGGCCAGGCATTTCCCTTCCTTGATCGATTCGATGGTCGCTCAGCAGGAATATCCATGGAAATGCACTTGTCAACTTTATCACTCAGTGATTCCACCAAGTTGAACAGTTGTTGAACCTGAGCCGGTAAGCCATCAGGTGACGGAGTCGTGTCGTGTGTGAGCTCATCAGTAAAATACTGTTTCACACTTCTGCCATTCATTTTATCCCGGCAATTTGAACAAACGAATACAGCCTTGCCTTGCGAGAATAGGTCTTTGCTCGCACGACTGAGGTTGAAACCACAACATTGCATGCTGATGTGGAAGTAAACCTCACAAAAACCGCAGCGCAACGGCTCGATTTCGTTGATTTCCAACTGGCATTCTCCGCATTGTTTTTTCTCCATCCTTACAGCGAACAAAAACTCAGTGAACAGCAACAAATGATAGCGTTAGCCCGAATACAGGAATGTGGTTGAAAATTAAATCCTTCGGAATCGTCCAAAACAGCAAATTCACAAATCAACTCCACAATTTAGCGATGAAAGCAGGTCCAGATAATACGTCAACGTTGAAAAAACGATTAAAAACTACAGTCAAACGAATTAAAAATAACTTTTAGCGGACACAATGTTAACGCGAATGTTGACAAATGAACAACGTCGATCGGATTTAGGATCATGGAGGGTTACAAGAAAAGGGTAAATTTAAGGTTAAAAAAATTCACCTTCGTGGTGATAAATCGAAGAAAAAGCTTTTTATAGAATATTTCTGGTGTAACTATATTATCAAGGTGGTGCATGGAAGGACTAATCAAAATGAATAACTCTGGTTCTAAAATTGAATCGTGCTTAAAATTTAGAGGTGCACATTTAACTGAAAATTTCTGGTGGAAAGTTCGCAACACTGTGGTGAATGTAAAAGCAAGGTTTATTAATTTTTCTGGTGCAAAAATTGCATCGTTCTGATAAATGAAATGAATAGAAAATTTGTCTGGTAAATGAACGCACAAGCTTTATTAAAATTTCTGGTGGAAAAGCTACACCGTTCTGGTGAACGGATGGGCAAGCTTTAGGGAAAATTTTTGGTCTTAAATTTGCTGAATAGAGAAACAAATTTTAATAATAATTTCTGGTGTAAAATTTGCACCATTCTGATGATTGGAGGGAAGCTGCTTTTTTGAAAATTTATGATGAAAAATCTGAAAATAGAGACAAGTTTTATTTGGTGGAAAACATGCACAATTCTGATGATAGGAGAAGCAAGCTATATTGAAAATATCTGGTGAAAAATGAAAAAAAAAAGGAAATCGGCACCAATCCTCCAATCTTCTCGCAATTTTAATTGAACATCAACGGTGGAAAATTTGCATCGTTCGAATTTGAGCAGGGTTCTCTCTGTTTATACTCTATAGTATAATGCGCTTGGCATAGATGGTCCACAGCGACTCACGAAGAGCTACTGATTCCAATCAATAGCAGTGCGGCTTCTTCCTCCTTCTATGGATGCTTATGTGGACTGCAGCTCGCTGCTTGTAGGCAGCCTTCCGTTGTGTACCGGAGAGCACCACCACTCACCACGCGGTGATTGCATAAACACCGTTTGGTGAGATCGGATGAAATTTAACTTTGAAATCTGTGTAATTATCATAGCAACAGTTGTACATTCGTGAAATTTTCAATAGTGACATTTTGAAAAATGAAAATATTTCTGATCGATTGGTGATAAAATTATTGAAATTGGTACTGGACCAGCTGAGTTATTAACGTTCAAAATCTTTCATTATCTTGTTACATGTTCCATTTTTGATTTTCACAAAGTGTATTCCCATATAGAAATCACAGACGTAGCCCTACGTCAAAAAAAAAAATCATAATGGACCACTCGCAGACACTCAACCGTAAAAACCCCGAGAACATGCTTCACGCGATCGAGGTCATGCCTCTGGCCAAAGGGAACGATAAAAACAAATCTCAATCGCTCCCCCGAAGATACGCATCCGCTCCCGCAAACAATGCATCCGATCCCCAATCCGGCGCAACCGGCATCCTGGATTCATTATTATAGAGCTTATAGTAAACATACTAATCATATTATGTATATTATTTTGATTTATTTTGATACACACCGATAAGCTCAGAATCACAGAGGATCCCTTTTCATCAAGTAAATATTTTCTCGTCACATCATCCACCTTGCCATCCATGCTTATTGTTTCATGATTGACTCCGCTGAGTTTTTCGTGATATCGACAATTACCGAATACAAATGCCTCTCCGGGCACTCCTTTGGTTTGTTTTTTTTTCCGTCGATCTTGTTTTCCGTGCTGAGCACCAATGCTACCGACGTGCCAGGAAGGCAGCTCCCACACCTGGACCCTACCTATCGACCCATCAACTTATGAACCGGGGACCAACGGCTTTACTTCCCATCCGAAGGAAGGCGTGATCAGAGATATTATGCCTCAGAACATCCCGGCGGCGCCGACTGGGTTTGAACCCAGGCCTGCTGGGGTGAGAGGTAATCACGCTTACCACTACACCACCGGCGCCGTTTTCCGGGGCACTCAATTCAATTAAAACCGTTGAATGCAGCCTCTTCTCTGATACTCCACGAACCATTATCTCTTGAGCGTTATTTTTTTCACGCCAAGAAAAACAAAAATTACCACGGGATCCAGTTGCAGCTACTGTCATCGCCTGCAACTCTTCACTACATGCGCGAGAAGGGGGTCAAGTAATTATCATGACAAAATGACCGTCAGTCACGTTGAGTGCCGAATGTACATTGTGTTTATGAGTGTTAGTTTTGCTGCTGGTTTCTCGCTTTCATAAATTCAGTTTTCCACTGTGATGACACGTCAGCGTCGCTGGTTGGGGAGGAAAAAGGCACTGCTGAAATAATTTAATTTCACGATTGCACTTATTAATGGTAATCGCGTTTTTGATTGCCGCCCAAGCGGTAAGGGAATTTTAGGTTATATAAAAAAAACTGCCAGCGGAAATATTGCTATCAACTCTAAACTCAACTGCGTGCTGGTGTCGGGGACAGTCGTGCTGTGTAACAGGCTTCGCACTCAGACTGGGAAACATACTTTCGTTGACGTTAAAAATTCCAGCATTGATTAAAACATTGTTTCACATGATTTTCAAATTACCTCACCATCAACCCATCGCACCGTCAAGGGACCTCCTCGTTGCCGGTAACAGCTGCAACCATCTAGTCATCCCTGTCAAATATGAAACTTTTACGGCGCGCGGCGACGACGACGACAACACGCGGAGAGTTGAACACCGTGAGTCTGTGTGTAGCAAAGTCGAAATTGTCATACGATGCAACTTCACTAGAGAGCGGCAATCGACCGGCAGCAAAGTGTACCGGCGAAGCCACAGCACATTAAAAATTCGTGAATTTAATAACATGATAAAGCTTTGGGCAAAACTTTCCGATCCCAGATGAGTGTGGCATAAGTGAACACCAAAGCGGGGTAATAGGTGAGGAGAGGAGAGGTAATTCCACAAGCGTTGTCCGGGAAAAAATTCAGACTATAGTGAAAACTTTCCGCAACAAATTGAATAGAATTATTTTGAATGGGGACTTTTTGCCTTGGCTTAGATACGTTTCGAGATGAATGCAGCAACCGGAAGTGAAGAAAAGTCATTGTTGTGCCCCACCCTGGAGGGGAACGTACATTTGCTTGAGGTTAAAAGTTGAAACAATTAGGAGCTTGGAAACTTTTAGTTACATGGTTGTATCGTTAGCAGTACTTACGAAGTGAATCATAATAAACGCCCTTGAACTCCTTGAAGCATGGAAGCACTGCCCAGGTACTGCGGGGCGTTTTCGGCCAGCACAGGATGCTATCGAAGTTGACCGGGCAGCCATCGTATGGCGTCTGAAATGGGAGAAGGGAAAATACTGTCAGTGTCTGAACATGTTTGTTAGTATTTTTATAATATAAGAAGCAAATGAAAGAAGTGGTTTTGTGTACACCACTCTGAAGCATAGGAAGTTATTATTTCCGTTATACCAGTTGAAATTTTGAAACTATAAGGGTGCTTGCTTTACAATTCTTATCTGTATCTGGAAGCTTATCAACATTTATTTAAGTCTGGGTAAGCCGAAAACCATTCAGCCTGAATACCATTCGGCCTGATGATCATTTGGTCTAATATTCATGCGAACAAAGGTCAATTTTGAGGAAGGCACGAGTTAATCATGTCCTTTACCAAACTCTCCTGTTGCGCAGTGGGACGAATTAAAAAAAATGGGGATATGGCTATTTGCAACGAAACTATTGAGTATAGCTTTTTGTTGTCTTCTAGAATGTTTCTTTATTTTTTAAGTTCTTTATTTATGTAGTGAAAAAATTTGGTTAAGGAGGGTATACACTCAGATAAAAAAAAAACTATCCCAGCTATCTCTTTGTTGAAAGGATTTACGCCAGTTTTTACAATTTTTTTTCACTATCTTTAAGGGGGTGTACCTTGCAGGTTAGCAGGTATTAGCAGCTAATGACAATGTCATTTCATTCAGCAACTTATATCCTACTGTTTCATATACAATTCATTGGGGGATCCAAGGGGATGCTTAATAAATATTCAAAAAATGTACCTCAATGTTTTGTTACGTTTTGCGGTATTCATGAAGATTTTTCCAAGTATGTACAAACATGAAGGCAAAAAACGTGTTGCTTACTGTTTATTATGACAAAAGAAATCATTATGGTGAACATTTGCACTAGCTATCAAAAGTAAATGGCAATTAAGCAGGTGATAAAACATTTATTCAAACTCTTTTGATTTCTGTTTGGTTACAATTTTTATTGCAGTTGATCGTTCTCCTCCCAATCTTCATCGCTGGATGAACATGGCATCTTGTTCTTTAAAATACTCGGTTCTTTCAAAAACTTCAATGCATCTCCTCTGAATGGAATGCTTTTCCTTCTTGGAATCTTTCGCATTGATGAAGTCAATGGGTCTGAAGACACCATCAGTCGGCTGAAAATGTATTGATTTGTGGCTACATTGTTGAATACAACAACAAAACATAAAGCTTAAATATGATTAGAAAATATAAAAAAGCACATATATGTACCGTGAACATTTCCTTGCCTGATGTTCTCGAAAGTTTTTGATGTCCTTATTTCGGCATTCTTGAGGTTCTTCTGGTAGAGTACCAACAGGAAGAATAGAAGCTCTTATAATGTCTGCGCCGTGAATCAGGAAAATTCCAGGATTCGTTAGTGTCAACATCAATTACGGGATTAAACGCAATTAAGTTCAAATAAATGTGTTACCACCTGCTGTATTGCCATTTAATATTGATAGCTAGTGCAAATGTTAACAATAATGATTTCTTTTGCCATAATTAACAGTAAGCAACACGCTTTTTGTCTTCATGTATGTAAATACTTGGAAAAATCTTCATGAAAAGCAAAACGTAACAAAACATTGAGGTACATTTTTTGAAAATTTATTAAGCATCCCCTTGGATCCCCCTATGAATTGAATATGATACAGTAGGGTATAAGTTTCTGAATGAAATGACGTTGTCATTAGCTGCTAATACCTGCTAACCTACAAGGTACACATCCTTAAACATAGTGTAAACAAAATTGTAAAAACTGGCGTAAATCCTTTCAACAAAGAGATAGCGACTTACTGTTCCGTGCAAAAATGTGCATTTTTAAAGCACTTACAACTTTGTAGAATATTTAAAAAAACGAGAAAATTCAAAGAAAACAGTTATTGTGAAAAATCGTTTTTTAAGGGAGTACTACCGTTTGTAGTCCATTTTTACCCTATAGCTTTGTCCACTTGAGAGAAAGAAAGTTTACACTCTAGACAAAGTTTCTTAAAAAAGACTGCATCTTCAATGTTTCCATAGGTGTTCATCAAATTTAACAAGACATAAAAAAGTTACTTTTTTTTTATCTGAGTGTATACCGTCCTTAACCAAAATTTTTTACTACATAAATAAAGTACTTAAAAAATAAAGAAACATTCTAGAAAACAACAAAAAGCTATACTCAATAGTTTCGTCGCAAATAGCCATGTCCAATTTTTTTTAATTCGTCCCACTGTGTGTTGGGGAGGAATGGTGAGGGGTATCTCTCCCGCCACCATTGGCCAAAGAGATGATCGACGATTTGCTAACGTACCTTCGATGTGCGGAGACAGTTCTATCAACAATCAATACGAAACTAACGATTTTAAATTGGCTCACCACTTTAGTAGCCTATTGGTCCCAAGCAAACGATTAACGTACCCTATTCTAGTTGAAATTCTATTACTACACTATGTTTGTTTTGATTCGCTATGAAAGTTTGACAGATAACATCAGGGGTGTGTGGATTCATGCAGAACATGCAGGGGTGAGTGAAATAGCTTGGGACTGCTTGGGACCGTTGTTCTGGTACTGAGTGAGCCAAAAATAATAATGATTTTCTTCGGGACCCAGTGGTCTTAGAGTTACCTCTATGGTTCTATCGATTGTTTCACACTGAAGTTGTCATGTGACGTAAACATCTAGTCGATAGGTTTGAAAATTGTAGCTGTTGTTACCTCTACCGCTGTATGTACTCCTGTTATCGTCAACTTAACGATCTCGAGGAGACACGGGTAAGGGGGGTGCTGCTACTGTACCTTTCTACCAATGACAGTATGATTGATGGTAATCATAGAACAAGAAAGTTTGGTAAAATTTGTTCAATTGTTTTGACATAGGACTACGTCTTAAATTTCTATACTGGGGATCACATTAAAAAAAATCAAAATTCAGGCAGGTAACAAAAAATCCCCAACACGGATGTAACGATAGAGCGCAAATCGAACACACGACACATTGCGCATGCTCACATGAGCGAGCTCACCGCTCGGTTGACCGCTCACCATTTAACCAATGAATGGAAGGGTGGAGAAAAGCAGCGATAATAGAAACGCTTGCCAAATCGTTTTCTTCGTCATTTACTTTCGAGCAACGGACGGATAAGCGTCGGACACGACGTATGAGCACGCATCGCACCAATACAAAAACGACGGCGAATGCACCCACATCGTCCGGAGGAAAGGCTTCCCGCAATAGGCAGCATGACTGGGCAGCCGCACAGTGGTGCCAAGGGTATCAAAACACGCGCTTTTTTATTTACGCTGAAATGATTGATTAAAGGTACTAGGTGTCTTCTGAGAAGTTTCTCAATTTACAACACTCCTTCTTATGGTAAAGAAAATTAATGATTTATCCAGTAATGCAAAATCTTTTTTTTAATATGATGAGATACAAAATAATTTTGTTCGGTGCCTTTGAGGTGGTCTGATTTTGATCCCGAGTCATTTTTTTAGTCACTAGAAATAACCCAGGTTGCAATTATTTCAGCGTAAATAAAAAAGTGCGTGTTTTGATACCATTGGCACCACTGTGCGCCGTAATCCAGTCGGAATCGACTTGCACTAGTGTGAAAGAGTCAAGTAGCGCCAGTTTTTCTTTCACAACAATCCAATCCAATGCTGGTCGGAGCACGGCTTGGTCTGGTGTGAACAGATTGTAATTCAGTGAATGTGATCAGAACACAGATCGGTTTTTGCTCACTCTGTTGAGTTGTTCGAAAGTTTCTAGTTTGTTCCAAATATTCGCAGTTTAATCGTGTCGTCAGTAGTGTCGGTCGCTTCGTGTGATGGGAAGACAGCGCTCCCGGAGCAGGCTCCTAGCGAAAGCGGTGCCACCGCGACGAACGTCAGCGTCATTGGTGATTTCGGTGACGCCGTCGACAACGAAACTGCTACCAGCCCGAGTTCAGTAAAAATGAAGCTTCCTCCACTGGTGGTGAAACAAGTGCCAATCAACACGCTGATTTTCGATCTCTCATCGCTGGGCGTTGCAGATGAGTTTAAGCTCGGCAGGATCGGCACCAAGGTGATGCTCCGTACGAAAGCGGAGTACGAGGTGCCTGTGAAATATCTGAAGGATTCCAAGGTGAAATTCTTCACGCATGACATCCCCAGTGAGAAGCCCTTCAAGGTAGTCATCAGGGGTCTATCAAACTTCGACCCCAAGATGGTAGAAGCCAAAATCAAGAACCGGCAAAAGCTGGCCCCAATCGCTGTCTTCCGAATGACATGGAGAGACGAAAACGTGAAGACGTACCCGGATTGTCTTTACCTGGTGCACTTACAGAAAGGGACGGTGACGCTCAATGCGCAGCAAGCCATCCGCTCGATCTACTCCATCATTGTAAGGTGGGAGCCATACCGTGGCGGCCATCGTGACGTAACGCAGTGCGAGCGACACGGTACCCGCAACTGCAACTTCAAGCCGCGCTGCAGCAACTGTGCACACGAACACGCCACTTCTGACAGCCTTGAGGATAGAGTCGTGGCGTTAAAATGCGGCAACTGTGGTGGTGCACATCAAGGTTCCGACAGACAGTGCTTCAAATGCAAAGAATTCAAACGCATCCGAAAGCAGGCGGCAAGCAACAAGAAGGACAAAACCCCGGCATTCAGGGCGGAGGATTTCCCACCTCTTCGTGCTGCCCAGCAAAGGCAAGCAAATTCGCGGGTGCAACCCCAGTGGTTCTGGAGACAACCACTTTGGAGCAGCAACATAGTGATGTGATGCCTCTGTAATTCTGGACATTCTTTTTATCACCTTTCTTGTGGACGGGGAACAAATACGAAAATTTGCACACCTCAGAAAATTTACTCTCCTGTAGTGACAGATTAAATAACTTCACCAAGGGAGTGAGCAACGACTCCGAACACAGCTTAAGAGCGGAAGCAGGAATGCCGTATGGCCCGGCAGCAAACGAGAATTTCAACCTTTGAAGAGCTAGATTGACGGTATGTTCACTGA